AATTGGTTACAGGTGAATAGAGTGCAATTTATAGCATTAGAAAGAACATAGTACTCCATAATATCAACTCCAGAACTTGTTCAGGAGTATGGTAGAATGTGTTTAACTCAATTCCTCTGATCCCTGCTTTTAGCCAACTTTGCCTGGATTGGCCATATCTCTAGGGCTGTGTGGACTTGACTCATTCCCACTTAGTTCATAAAAGGCCATCTTTTTTATCGTGGTGTGCATGCTTACCAATGCAAAGTTAGCTTCTGGGTTAGTTCTCAAGTGAAAAAAATTAAGGTGATTCATTTGATGTGGTACTTAATTTTGATATAACTTTATTTGGAACTCAGACCCCAAGATCACCAAAAAGTAACATTAAAAACGACATTCTTTTCCCCTGTCTTCTAAAAAGCATTAAAAAGCAGTTTCTTCTTTTCCTCTTTAGAGAAGATAAAGCAAAAAACCAATAACTGAGAAAGTAACAGCCACAAAAGTTTGCAAATGGAGTCTATGAGTTTCAAAGGCTCCAAAAAAAAAAAAAAAAGAATTAGATTAGGCTTCAGAATGAGAAAGGCTTATTTTCTTCCCCCTTTCTTTTTCTTGCCTTATTTTGACCAAATGAGTTTGTCTTTAAACACAGTTTTAGCTTCTTACATGAAGTGTGTGTTCTTGCTGCTTACAGTATGATACATTGGTTTTGTCATAAAAAGTCTTGCACTGGATTGCATTACTCTGAGATGTTATTTTGGAAATTGGTGATGTGCATCTGTGAGAGCTTGTCATGGTATGCAGTAAGCAGTGCCATTAAGTGAGTTATCACCATCTGCTCCTATCTACAGCTATTCTCAGTGCAGCATCATCATGTTTTCTACAGCCATCAATTGCTGTCTCTGTTTTCTTGACTTTAAAAAAAATGTGTTGTCCATGTCAGGATTTTGTTCATATTTACCAAATTATCTTTTGCCAAGTCATGTGACATACGTACTTGTATGGAATCCCTTCCATCTGAAACTGAGTCACATAGGTTAGTGGGATTTAAAAGGCAATTAAATGGACACATAAATTATGGCTATTTCACGATAGCTGTTTCCGCTGAATTGATAAGAGATGAAGTCTTTGGACAAATTTCTTTCGGCTTTAAGGAGATTCTTGTATTTTTCCCCTGTAGATTTTCCACCAACTGGCCAAATACACCAGAGGCTAAATGTTAATACTATACTGTACATTCTACTGAAGATGGTGCTGAGCTTGAGCCCAGACCTTCACGATGCGCAGCTAACAGATCATTGGGCATTCTAGGGAGTTACATTTTGATGCTTTTATAAGGAAGCTTTTGAAGCATAGGACACATTTTTTAACCCCTACAGCTAGTTAGAGTAATAAATTTAACCAAAATAATAAGTTTTCATTTTGTGTACCAATTGAGATTACCAAGTTGAAAAGGCAAAGTAATAAGGGCAATTTGGGCAGCTAATTACAGTGTGCGTTGCTATTTGATAGCCTTTTCTGTGGAACCTTGTTTTATTTCTATGGGAAAGATTAGTTTTTCCTGTCGGTCTATATATTTATAAAGAACAGCTTTTAGGGACAAAACCATTTGCATTTGATTTATGTAATCTTTGTTAATTTGTAGAAATTAGGAAGATAATAGTATAATGAGTAAAAACAATGATTTCTTTTCCAGCTAAGGGAAGGTGTTTTTGGGGGGTTTTTTGTTTGTTTATTTTCCTTAAGGGCAAATCCTGAAGTGTTGCTTATAAATACGGAGCTCTTCCTTGTCAGGAGTTTCAGCTTACCAAATAGCTTCCTGGAATACCACCAGAGAGAGACAGAGTATTATCAGTCTGCATACCCAGGGCAAGAAAAGAACACATCCAAGTACTGTTTGCAAAGAGTAGTTTACAGTCTTGTTAGCTTTCAATATACTTTAATATCTCCTACTTCTTTAGTCATTCTGAGTGCTAAAAAACAAATCTTATTTTTTGCATTGCTAGAACTATGAGAAGATAGCAAATATGCCCTTTAAATATTAATAGATGTAGGCTGGGCGCCGTGGCTCACACCTGTAATCCCAGCACTTTGGAAAGCCAAGGCAGGCAGATCACCTGAGGTCAGGAGTTCGAGATCATCCTGACCAACATGGAGAAACCC